AAATTGCAATGAACAAGACACGTTTTCGATTAACTACCGTTCTCGTTCATTTCGAATCACATCGTTCTAGTCACCCTACCGCTAAAAACAAAAAGGAAGAAGTATTATGATGATAGCTCTGATTCGGAAAGGTGAATTTCTTTTAACCATTTTGATAGAATATATCTAGAAACTGATTTTTTCTCAGATTTCTCGTGATTAAACGAGAAACATCTTTCTATTGATATTACTTTTTAATTAGTTTTGAGTACGAAACACGATGAAACTATAGGATGGTTAAATTTGCCTTCGCAATAGGTAAAAAATATTCTATAGTCTCTACGTTAACTCATCGAATACCAAATATCAATAGATGTTAATGTTATTAAAGTGTAACGCATTTGATTCGTACTCGATAATTTTTGTGTTTACCTTTTAAAGCTTTCTATTAGTAGTCTTATCTATATCTGGTTATTGTTTAGAAATTACGAGTATCTAGAAATCAAAATAATAAAAAAGTCTGAAATTCACTTAAAACTTTTACATCTAAAGAATAATAAAATACGACTGGCATAAAATATTGGATGTCACTACCAAACTGTCTTGATCTCCCACCATCCCTTTGATGGTCGTTACTTAAGAGAGTAAAGGGGTTGTCATATGGAAATTAATGGGTCAACGTTAATTGTTTTTGGACGTGTCGACTATACAAAAGGTATTATGCTCATACAATAAGGTAAGCACTTTCACACCTCGCACTTTTGATTGCGAGGTGTAGATTTTTTTATTTTAATTCTATTAAATGCAATTTACCTATTATTTTTATTTTGAACCAGTGAGATTTCACGCCCGTATCACGTTCACCATTGAAACTTGTGGGAACTGGAATGAATAGAAAAATTCAGGGTAAAGGAGCCGTAATACTAGTATTGAATAGGGTTATTGACAATTTTTTCAAATGAAAGTAAACAAGAACATATTAGGTATAAGTATGTAAAATATTATAATGTATGCTTTTAAGTGAGGACTCTAATGAGCAATTTGATCATCCCATTTCAAAATGTTGTCAAATTGTATACCGAGATACTTAATAAGCAATTCCTAAGGAAAAAAGGTTATTTTGGTTGTGTGTGTTAATTTTTATGTAATAAGACGACTCTGGTTTTGAATTATTTGTGATTGAGAAGTTTATATATTTAGATTTGGTAATATTTAATATTAAATAGTTTTTGAATTGGTTATATTAGTGCTCTTTCAGCGAGTTGTTTTACTGAAGAATTAGTCTGCCAATTCAAAAAATATACCTACGCTCGCAGCCTTCTGGGCATTTTAGCTATTGGCAATGATTTGGGGGATATTTTGACTTAGTGTAGTTTTAGTCATTGCATAGATACTTAAATTTTAATTTATTATATCCGAAATTTTTAATATAATAACATAGACATGCACGTAAACTCACACATAGTAAGCAAGAAAGTTTGTAACCATATTTTTTTTTTATTATTCCTTATGATATACCAACTTGTTTGTACTTAGTACCTATCTAAATATTGAAATGCCATTGGGGAGATCAAATATTTATGTAACCGTTATTTGGACAAAAATAAAGGAATTATTACTATTATAACCGAAAGGAATTTCGGATTAAACTGTCGATTACTTTATCTTAGGCAACATATTACCTCTTCCCTAAATGTTATAGACTGATTTTCAGTACCTAAATCAAACATATGTACTTAAATAAAATTCGTTTTCTCATGTTTTCATTTTAACTTCATATAAAATACCTAGGTTCTATCTAAAATCAAGATGGTATCTATCCTACTTGTGTCTAATCCATGATGTGGTTGTGGAGTAGACGAGCTTCCGCTGCACCGGTAAACGAATGGCGCCTAATTAGATTTCATTCTAATTTTCGGTAATTATTCGGGGTCCTACCACCATCTCTTTAAATATAATTAGTATTAAATTTTGTTGTGTTAGTCATTTTCAGGAGAAGGTTCTTATGAAAGAAAAAAATAAGATAATTGTGTGGAAATTTAAAAAAAATAAGAATATTTAACCACCATATAAAATTATTTCTAATCTTACCTTAGTGTTTTGGATAATATAAACTTTTTTAGTGTAACCTTATGACGTTTGACAGAATGCAAATATCGTCAAATAAAATGATAAAAAACTATTCTAATTCAATATTTATAATTAAGATAAGACAACTACTCTCAGGTCAGTTAGATTTTTAATATTCTGTCATAATTTTGTGGTTGAAGAAGGATGATGACTATTTTTTTTTATTTGTCCGTCAAATAGATTGTTGAAAAATATTAAACGTATTTTTTTATGAATTTTCTGTGTTATCATAAAATTAAGACGATACATTGAGTTAAAATGTCACGTGACGTCACGCTTTTGTACAATTTCTACACAACGGTGAATGAGCCTCCACTCCGCAACTTCGATGCCCCTTATCTAAACCATTTCTTGTTAAATTGAAGTAAAAAAATGCGTATCAATTTTCTTTCTGACGGTCTAAATAGTTTTTTTTTCACCCAGGCATAATTTTCTCCTTGTCTTGTGAATTCGTAAGATGAGAGTAGACCCCCGACCCTTATTGCAATTCTTAAGCTAAGTGTTTAAAAGCTACTTGGTTTTATCACTTACCTTGTAACTATTTCTGTATATTATAAAAGTTAAAATCGACTCCACTTGTTGGGACAAACTGTACGAAAATTAAAGAAAAATTTCATTATAAATGTGAAAAATTCTTCATTTATTTCTCCTTTTATTATGTTATATGAAGTACCGTTATGGTATAATTTGCTATCTAGACATAGTTGGGAAGCTGGAAAAAAACCCTCTTAAGTGGGCCTTACACGGTTGTAAACCAGTGTTCTAAAACAGGTAAATTTCTAGGCGTCAATTGTGAACCTAATTTTTAACACAATCCGCGGGTGGAATGAATTCTTGCCGAGGACAATTTTGTTAAAATGTTGGTTTGTATCTGTATGGAACACAATTTATGTTCCTCTGACCGGGTGGGCGAAGCCGCGTTTTAGTTATTATATTGCTTAATTTTTCAAGTTAAATGTTTGTAAATGGTCCTGGATCGTTCCCTCAACGCAAAGTTACTCCGCAGCGGGTTTTTTCAGGTATGCAAACCGCACTCTGATCTTGCTTCTCGTGGCTGGTCCTTATAGTTGGAGAGCACTGATTTGATATAATAATAATGTGCATTTACAAAAGGAACTGGCAACATTTTAAAGTATCTTATCAACACTTACTAGGAGTAATCGATTCTGGAAAAAAAATATTTTTATTGCATTTATAATTATTATTAAGTTATTAACTTATTCATAAAACGGGCGTAAAGCTTTAGTCGAGTTAAAGCTTTTATATAATAAAGTAACTTGAAAATAGCGCCGAGTAAAAGTCAAATAAGGTGGTAATGCAAAATATCCGATAAAAATAGAATAAACAAAGTCCCAAGAAGACTAGACAGTATCTTAGAAGAAAAATAAATATAAATGTCACTCAAAAATAAAAAAAATGCGTGAACTAATCGTTACATTTTTAACTGTTTTTTTATAAAAAACAATCATAATATCCAATTAAAACCCAGTGCAAAATGACGAAATAAAAATGGGGACGCAAACAAACACAAAATGAATCTGACGATTTAATACCTAAACATATAGGCTATAATACTGCTGCTGGACACGAAAGATCTCAAGTTAATATTTGAACATCATCCAAAATGTTCGACGAAGGTTATTCAACTTATATTCTATACAATTGACCCGCCTGCCTTAGAACAGGGACCTTATTGCCTTATTTTATAATCTATCACCATCCCTTCAATTTGACATTTGAAATATATGAGAGGGAGTCATTTATGAAAGAATTTAAATTAAATGTTTTAGATATAGGATTAATACAAAGTATTTTATCAGAACCAAAGTTTATCATTGCACAAAAACTATGTATATTACTCGTAAATTTAAGATAAGCTGTAGTAAATGCTGTAAAAAATTACCTAGTGAAATATTGTTATCAAATGAATTTAGATTTAAGTATGGTATGATGGGGTTGGCATGTTCTAAAGAATAAAAACCCCTTAAAAATTAAAAGAATTAAATATATATATATCACGCTACGACTATTTGACATTTAATAACAATTGCGATCGCGATGTTTTTTACATATCCTATTGAATGAAATATGTTGATAATTTAAAGCAAGTGTAAGACGCGAATATTTTTGAAACTTGTTGAGTTATGTCAAAAGAAAGTGTTGAATGTTAATATCATTTTCGATAGTTTTAGTTTAGTTTTTATTACGTTCCATGATTATTCAAATCATCTTTCGTTCCCCAAGCGATTACGACTTTAAGAGCTTCATAACTTGATAAATCGCTACCACAATCGCTATATCTTTAAAAGAGACTGCAATAAATTTTAAAATTATTCACTTAGCCCACATGTCGAATATACGCTTTCCATTTTATCTTGAAAATAATTTTATAATGAAACATTGTAGCGACAACTAATGACTTCTAAATTACATTTAATACAAAGAAAAGAAAACCTTGATTGCGAAGTGATTTTTGCAAGATGCTGTCATAGGTCGTGTCACCAAAATGTATTTATCATATTCTTCCCTTCGCTCCTAGCTGTCTCTACAGTCATAAACACCCACTAACAAGCACTGGTATCGCGTGATCGGTTACAGTTCGTTCTACCTAATGATGATGAGTAACTCGTTGGCGTAGTATTGTTAAGCAACTTTCGTAGGGGTCGGTCACGGGATGAGTGACCGTTAGTCGCGGCTGCATTCGTGTTTGCTAATATCCTCTAATCCACATTTAGCCACATAGGGTCGTGGCCCATCCTCCTGAACTATCCATAAGGAAGGCCTGAGCCCCTACAGTGGACGTAAAAAGACTGATGATGATGATTAAATAATTATTGATTGCCCTTTCAGAGGAGGAAGACAGCGGGTTGAGCGCTGTACGGTACCAAGTAATGCCATCTTTGGTGTCACTACAGCTGATGAGGAATCGCTTACATCTCGCGTACTTGGGGCGGAAGCTGATGAAGTGGTCCGCGCTCGCCACCGGGCGTGAACTACGGAGCATAGCTATGACGTTGGACTCGTAAGGAATTTAAGAACTTAGACAATATCGACACAATACACCAAATCCTTAATTTTTAATGATTTGTCGATGGCGTTTTAATAAAAAGTATTTTGACACAATTCTTGTGACAAGGTCTCAAATTATTAATAATGTCTCTCAGTCATTTTGAACAAGACAATTCGGGTTTTAAGTAGATAATACAATGGCAAAATATATGAATTGAGGCTACACATTATAAATGTATACTTGTAAGTATAATACTAATTATCAATACCGACACAATCCAACTCTAAGCATGTTTAAACCAAAATGCACCTCGAGTAACGAAGGTCTAATACTGCGTAGGTGAGAATGCTGCATTTATAGAGACATAATAATACCATTTCAACAAACAATTAGGCGCTAGTTGCAGGTTATTTTAAATTTAGAGTAATACTATTGATTTATAATGATAGATTCTGTTGATACTAGAGGTAGTACAGTTTACTTATAAGATAACCTTAACTCCAGTGGTGGTATTAGAATGGTAAATAACGCAATTACAATTTATCTATAGTTATTGTAGTAGCGGTGGCTGCTTATTTTCCGCCAACTTTTTCGGCCTACATCGTCAAAAGCATTTTAAAGGTCTTCATGAACTCTCTGCATCTCTTATTGCTATAAATATTCTTTCTACAACGGAGTGTAGTAACACAAAAATCCACATGCGTTGTATAGCTCCTACTAACACCGCTAAATTTTCTAACGCTTATAGTTTATGTGCTAAATATAATTATGTGAATTTCACGTCGTGCATTTCATATTACAATGAGATGAATTAATTCTTGGGGATCACAAATAAGAACAGAGTGAGATATAAAATTTAGCAGCAATATCAGTTCTTTTTTAATTCAGTTCATAAAGATACATTACCATAATAACATTTCGGTAAGAAATCATTAACACAATCACAATGATGATGAAAGGGATTGCGTTAAAATTTAAAGTTAGAGAATTGGCCACCGTTCTGCTAAATAAGGTATCTTAAAAGCGAAATATTTAGTAGTTATCTATTTTAAGTAAGAATATTTGTTTCCTGCGACTTCGCACACGTAAATTATTAGGTGACATGGTCACATGCGTATGATGTGGTTTCCTGAATTTTTTAAATCGTTCCAGTATAGTTTCAGATCTTGTCCAATGCAAACAAACAAACAGACACACCAATCGTCAGAACACCGGCGATTCTCCAGCGATTGCATCTCGTTTTCTAATAAGTTTTATGTGTTTATTAATTATTTAGCGGCATATTACTAATTTATTTTATAGTGTGTACAAGTCATTCGGGGAAGACTTGCAAAACGCGTACATGCTGTTGGCGCGAGCCAGGTACTTCTGTCCATTCATGAACAAAATGGTCATAGAGAACATTGATAATCAGGTGAGTGTTATAGAAAATATATCAACATGCGTATCGTACACCCGATGCGACATCGACTCGTTAGCGCGTTCAGTTTGCGATTCGGAAGTTAAGCAACTTTGGCAATGGTCGATCATAGGATGGGTGACCAAAAATTTATTATCTGGAGCTCTCCGTACTTCGGTAGGCATGTTAAGCTGTTGGTACCGGCTGCATCAAAAAATATTGACAATCACCAATCCGCACCGGGCTATGGCCACGATCCACCGGTCATTACCATTAATAGACTGGTGATGGTGATATTGGAAGCCAATTTGATCTCCAGGTCACTTCAGCAGCTAGGTACTTGACCTTTGAACTAATCGATATAAATTAAGATTAACGCTTAAAGGTCAGATTGTTGACTTTCTGATAATGATATAATTAAATCGAAAGCTGATAGCAGATTAACCAGTCAAAGAAGGCGAAGGTTTCGCTTGCGATAGACCCCTTACAAATATGATGTAGTTGTATTATATTTGATTAATCTTGCATTGACAATGCTGTAATAATTAGAACAAATTTTTATCTTAATCGAAAGTTTAAAATATTTGTATAAAAACTCTTTTAGCTATTTGGGTGGGTTGTTGTAATCTATATGTATGTTGAAGCTATATTATACGCGGGTGCTTATACACTATAATTTTTGCGGGTAAAGACGCGTGGACACAGCGAGTCTTTTAGAATTTTAAGTTGTTTACGAAAAAGAACGATATTTCCTCGCACCTTATCGCCGGAAACGCTGCCTAATGTTAGATGGTGACCAGGAAATCAATCTGGTGGACTGATTATTTTGAATTTTGTCGAAATTTATTTATATTAATCAAATTCTTATTTTTTATTGTAAAAAATACGCCCCCGGGTGGGCTCGAACCACCAACCTTTCGGTTAACAGCCGAACGCGCTAGCCGATTGCGCCACGGAGGCGATAGTCATACCGTCAAAATATACTATTGTATTTTAATTCGATATTATTGTGCATAAAGTACTAGTACGTTTTTTTGCGTACGTGTTCAAGCGGTCACGATTAAATATTTTCGAGATAAGGAATTATCATTGCGTAAATTTTATTGTTTATTAAGAGTTTATTTAATTATGAATTTTGCTGATATTAAATAAGTAAATGTATATCAATTAAATTAAATATTAATCGAACTAAAAAACAGTTAGGTACCGTAGGTATTTTTGTGTTATACATGTTATAAAATTTGCTTGTTTCTTTGGAAAAAAGGTCATGTTGAGTAACATTTTGCTTTTCTTTTTATTACTAATGAAAAGAAAACAGAAAAAAAGATAATTTTTAGTTATGCGGTAGACTAAGGCTACTGCTGCTTTAATTGGAAAAAAAATAGAGTATTATCTTAGTTCAATGGAGATAAATAAAGAGTAGAACCTTATAAAAAATATTATTTATTTAACATAAAAAAAAAGATTTTTGTTTCTTTTTCGGTTACGATAAATAATTATTCATTATAATCATATGTCACTGACACTAGTCTAATAAAAATTGTATAAAACAGAGTTTTTAGCGTCCTCTATTAGTATTATATACTGCAAAATATGTTTACATGATACGGAGCACAAGACTTTACTTTAGAGAACAGTTGGCATTTCTGTATAGTGCCTTGTGGCTGATTTCAATCTAGAGACCTTTGTCTTTACAACAGCGAGAAGGTTATCCATTATACAAAACTAACTTTTGCTCGCGACTTTGACCGCGTAATCTAGTTTTAAATACAGATATGAAAAAAAAACCATAAAAACTTTCACCCCTAATTTACCCCATTAGGGGTCGAATTTCGTAAAATTTTAGTGAGCACCTACGTCCCAAAAAGAAACCGCATGCAAAATTTTAAACTCCTAGCACTTGTAGTAACAAAGTTTCATAGACACTTTCACTCTTAATTTATCTTATTCGGGGTGGCATTTTCGAAAATTATCTTTTAGAGCTCTTCTAAACTCCGTAAGGAATATTCATTCCAAATTTCAACTTTCTACGCCCAGTAGTTTCGGCTGTACGTTGTCTGTCAGTCAGTCAGTTACTTAGTAGCGCAAGAATTTTATATATATATATAGATAATAATATGTTATCCATATTTATCTAAATGATAAAAAATATTCGACTTATTTTTGAGGTGCATGAGTTAGAGTGGAAATCGCTTATAAATGAAGTCATTAATAAGATTTCGGTTCTGTTTTTATTTTATTACACGATTGACAAAAATGAGTATATTGTGTTAAGGTTTATTGAATGTATGTGATTTTTTTTAACCACCATAACTTTTTAAAGACATGACGGATATGAATGTATCTTTAGCAACGTTAATCTTCCCCAATGACACTGGGTATATATTTATTATTTATTAAAAACTAACTGACACGGGGAACTTCTTACTTTCTTCGGAACTTCGTTCTTATGTTAAACATTGACTTGGCAATAATAAATACAAAGAAAAAGTAATTGTCCAATTTGGTGGAGTTGTTCGGAGGTTATACGCGCACATTCATAACGGCAATTCATTATATAAAAGATATATAATAAATTTTACCCTATGCCTGTTTTCAGGCAAGTGTGTCCACGAAATCTGCAGTCAGGATGGTGACTGGTGTGAAAGTACCCCAATACCAAATTATAGAGGTGAGCACAATAGTGTTGTAGCAGTCGTAATATGTAGATGACATAAAAAATTCAGTAAATTATGAAGATAATTAAATTATTCTTGCAAATTACCTACATTTAAGTTTTCTTCGTTATTTTAAGAGTAATCATAACATTCGGAATAATAAACAATTATATGAAGACTACAGACTATAAAATATCACAAGGGCGTCGCCAAGGAGGGGCAGAAAGGGTAGCTGCCCCCTTCCCCCAGATATTCTAAAAAAGTTGCCTAGTGTAAAACAACTGAAGTCCTGAGAGACTTCACTCGCTTGATCCATCATTTCCGTACGTCGAAAGTCGAATTAACTTAACAATTCTATTCCTACACTCAACTACGCTCTGCTCTATTGCTATTGTTAAAGCTAGAGGAGGGACTGGTGTACATTCAAACCACATATTATTTTTATTATATTTTTCTAATAAACATTAGAATTAATTACAAATTTATTTATTCTACACCCGAGAGCTCGTGTAACTTTTCAAGTTGTATATTGTTGTTATTACAATTGCCGTACACGTAAGGCTTGTACTACAAGTAAAAAACTTAATTTGTTCTCGACTTTAGCTTCAATTCATACTTAGCTCATTCTCCATAACCAAGTTGTTCCCAACCCCTATCGGCTGGCGATGTCATTGAAGCATCATCTTGATTTGCTTGCCCTTCTCCCAATTATTTATTTGGGACCTGCACAATGTACGTACAGTCGTCTTCATACGTCTTGATCAGTGGCCATCTTAATATTCACTCCTCTCTTACACATATCATCTTTCACAGTGTCCTTCTTCGGTCACTTCTTTTTCCGATCTTACTCTCCTTATATTACATCCATGCTCATTTTTTTTACATATTAATAATTTCTTCTCACCCTTTTTATTATTGTTATCATATATTTATCTTTAATACTATTTTATCTCATTTCGTCAATCTACTGATGGATCTTCGTAGGTGAGTCGACACCGCCTCATTTTCATCCTTTTATAGATACCTTCTAAGTCCCTGATTCACCCACGTGTGGGTAGAGTCCTCGCAGAGTTTTTAAAGAGTTGAGTTGGCATTGTAAAGTATTTTACCATCGCCCTATCATTTTATACCGTCATATACTAGAGCGAGGAAGAAAATGGGTGTATGATTGCACGCTGCGAACTCTTCGAGGCGATAGGCAGGCCGAGGCGAGCATGAGTTCTGCTGACAACGCGATGGACAATCGACCAATCGGAATAATTCCGGCTTATGAACTACTCTTCCTAACTTATTTAGGACCACTTTAATGTAAATGAGTTCTAACTAAGATCTGTAACCAAAACCAATTGATCAATAACAAAAAGCCAATTTACAGTTAAATTATAAATGCTGACTTATTTTTCCAGTCTGGTGTAGAGCCTTACGAACATTTGGGAATAGAGAAAGGTGGCCAGCAAATACACGAGGCGAAGGTTGCTTGGTTAGAGCTACTCAAGCGACTGATCTTGATCGTGGAGTTGAGGGTCAGCTTCAAATTGCTTGAAATCTCCAATCTCAGTGCTACAAAGTAAGTTGTGAATTATTTTGAAGCATAAGGCATTGTGTATACGGCACTACCACGATTTCGGCACATCGCGAGATTGTATGCCTCACCGCTACATTTGCTTCCTGTCGGCGTTAGGTTTTTAAATTATTTCACTTATGTGATGCTATTAGCTTATTCCACATTTTTACCCGCGAATGTTTTAAATAAATATTAAGGATCTATTTCTCCAGCTTCAAGATTCACTTTCACATGATTTAACCCTTACAAATTTGTATATTTCCTAATAGATATTATTTTTGGTGTTGAAATAGACAATCGAGTTTTATGTACCTTATATACGCAGCGGAGTTAAGGCATTGCTGTTATACACGATGTCCCTCAACACAGACCAAGCGGAGAAATGATATTCATATTTTAATTATATTATATTCAGATACATCTGAAATATTATTATGTAGTAATTTTATATTGTCTGCTGGGGGCCAATTCTATGATGTAAATTTAACTAATAATAATATAATTTCTACTAAATAAATTTTGTTTAAAAGTGACATACGACACAATTCCAGCTAAAATATAACTGAAATTGTATCGTTAGTCACTATGTAGAATAGGAAAACCATTAAAACTGTAGTTTCGTTCGGTTTCGGCCCGTTATCGATTCGATTTAAACAAAATGTATTTAGTAGAATTGGCCCTCTGGACTGCAGCAATTTTGTGTGATATTTTTAGCTTAATTTAAGTGTAACAAGGTTGAAATTTTAACATTATTTAACACTTGCTTCAGCTTTATTTTTTCGCTTAGTCTGAGTTGCCATAGTAAAAAATATTTAACAGTTATTGCCGCTCAAATAAAAATGTAGCCTAATTGTCGAATTTTAAAAAGTATCATAGCCACTTTTAACTTGACATTTGTAAGATATACAATTATTTTACATGTTATTAGCAATTGTTATCGCGACGTTTTTTGGAAAGATGTTTAATGAACGTTAATGTTTATTTAACGTTAATCGGAATTGTCTAAGCAAAATGACAGTTACAAATATCTTTGAGAGTTATTGGGAAATGTCAAATGCAATGAATTGTGTATGATATTTATAATTCAATTGGTTGCCATAGTAAAAATACTACTTATTGTGATTTTAAAAGTGAAATCCATAAATCACTACCACAAAAACGCTATACTTTTGAACGGTATTGTTATAGATTTTTTAATTAGACAATTAGGCTAGTTATTTATTTAAGGTCTGGATAGTATGTGTAAACAAACCGTTTTATAATTTAGCTTTTGATGCTTTTCTACAGGATTCTATTTTTTTAGTAATTATTAAAGGAATAATATAAAATAAATATTTTAGAAAAAAAAGCTACGTTGATGCACTTATCACATTTCAATTTGGCCTGTATATACATCGAGAATGCGAGTTACTTTTCAGTGTCCATAATTTGTGCAATAAGATAAAATAATAAAATTCAATAAATTATCTAAAAAAATTAAATCGTATCTTGAATTGAAATTGTATATTTTTTTAGGGGGCGTCCATAAATTACATGAGATGTTTAAGGGGGGGAGGGAGTCGAGTCAAATCTCATCTAATCTCACGTTGGAGAGAGGGGGGGTCTCGGCAAATATCACGCAATTTTTAAAATAAGGCTCGGTGCGGGGAATCCCTCATAGAGAGACAAGTCTAAGATTAAGATCATTCACTAATTCGTTGGAAAGAAAATAATTTCATTCGTACTTTGACATTATACATCACTCTTGATTTTCAAACCACTATAGGTACTCGTTTTATACCAAATAGCTAAATTGAATTTGAATTTACTAGTCTCTAACTAGTCTTAAATAAAAGTACGAAGGGATTTATTTTTTTTTCTTTTTATTAAAAAAATCCAACGTGTTTAAACAAGAAACCCACATTTTGAAAATTCTCACGTGAGATTTGGGGATGGGGGAGGGGATTGAATAAAATCTCACGACATCTCACCAGGGGGGGAGGGAGGGTCAGAAAATTTGAAAAAACACCTCACGTAATTTATGGACGCCCCCTTAATTGTATGTAAAATTCATCTGCGCAGAAGAGAGCGAACTTTAATTTAACAGCTGCTTTATTTGGATTAAATTAATTTTGATTTTGATATTTTTATCGAGATGTTACCATCTGGCAAATAGAATTGATGAAATAAATATGATTTTAAACATAGAATTAAAATAAAATGTACAGTTTTTTAACCTTCGAATGTACAGAGCATTTAAAAAACATATCCCACTCTTAGACCAACTTACGATTGATAAAATGCATAACGATGCTACGAGCAAATGGGATATAAGACTTTTTGGCGTCTGTTGAGATGACCATAATGTCGTGCGGATTTCATCCCGCACGCGAGATTGCCCCGCATGCGTAACATCTACTAATGTCCGTATCATACATGTATTTTAGCTTAAAGCGCATGATTAGCAGATAGCATGTTTTTAAAAAAAAAAGCTTTGATTTCGTATAGCCCATGTCTGGCAGACAATATGTATTTTAACAGTCTTAATTTTGTCTGAATCTCGATACTTACTAAACATGCAACCGAGATTCGCTAAGTTCTGCGTTGCATAAGCTAGACTCAGGTAACTGAAGTGGAAAATTTTGATGAAATTTTAACAAGCCTACCATTATGACATTTTAAATATTGTACAAACATAATAATGGCAGTCATCTGCGGCGGCTTTATTAAAATACATGCCATCTGCCAGACATGGGCTCTTAAGTTACTTATTGTTGTAGTGCATCATTATGTAGGCTAGACGCGGCCCGAGATGCTGCGTAACAGCTCGTTGACAGATAATTGGATTACGGGAATCTGAGGTCAATGAAATCACTTTATGTTAAATTTACGGCATGCGGGGCAATCCCGCAAACGAATACGATCATCGGCTAAAATGTTTCCTCGCCTTTCTTCAATAAAGATTTCTGCGCAGATATATCGACCTAACTTTAAAAAATGATTCTACTGCTTTTATATTCGCGATACTTACTATATGTCGTTGCTTTGTAACAATACCGTATATAACAATACCGCTTTAGTTAAAAATTGGTCCTAATGCGTCGAATTCGTGATCATTAGATTGATTCTTTTGGTGTGCCTCCAGTGATGTATTTATTGAACAGTGCCTAACTTCAGTATAAACATAATTTGTTATTTTTTTTACAATACTCTTAGGTAATGGGGTGACAGTCGTAACTATATTTTATTTTATTTTATTTTTCATGGTAGTTCAACGGTTGCATAAATTAACTTACAGTATCGTTACATAAATCAGATATCCAATTATAGATCCACACAGTTAGCAAATATAGACCTGTATTTTTTATAACATATAAAAAATCCACATTACTTTAAATGTTATTTTGGACAATGGCAAGGTACCTTCAAACACTTCAATGTTTACTTTTTATTACATAGGTAATTTAGATCCTGGAAAAATATGAATTTAAAAAAATACACAACACATATCAAAGAGAAAACGGTCTATGACTCAGTAGCCACAGACTTGCAAATCCACTGCTCCTGTTATTTGGAATAGGTTTTTATATTTCTCCTAATCTCCGAAACGATATAAAGAAAATACAGAACGTAATTTTGTATTTGAGTAGATAAAAGAAAAACATATCAAATTTATTTTTCTCTTAAAAGTGTTATTAAATAAAGTAAAAATAAATCTTCTTTATTAATTTAAATTGTACCGCGAAAACAATCAGTCACGTGACCTTTAGAGTAGTGACGTCGCATTTCAATAAAATGTGTTTTAAAACATAATCTTTTACTACAGTGATTGATATAGTTATTTTGATTTGTAACATTGGTTAAGTTAGTGACGCTTATTGATCCCAATGTCAATCAAATTGAAGCCAATTTTACGCAAGCCTACCTTAGGAACATAGGACTATTAAAGCGTTGGTTCACATTACTTACGCTGGAAGTTAAGTTTTAGTATTCCGAAAATCAAAGCCATGTATTTTTAAATTAAAAAAATATATTTTATAAAGCATATTATTAGTTTTAACTTGGCTGTAATATTATAATATTTAACTAATACGGTATTGTTATTTAAGTAACGATTTTAAATTATTCAGCTGGTCACATAAAAGTTGGAAAGATAAATTTTATTTGAGTAAATTAGTTTTTAAAGTTCAATTCAAGATTCTAAGTCAGTGTTCACATAAATTCGGCGCATTACTGATAAGAAACCCCTAAAGTCTTCTTCGAAAACAGTAGCATGATAATTGTTCTATATTTGTCTTTCGCTTTATTTGATTTTAAATCGTATTTCTCAGCAAGTTATTATAGTTCGATTATCATGGTTATAATTCTTATTTACGATGGTCCATCAGCGTAGCTTTAAACCTAAAACTTTATCTTTTTTGGACTAAGCGGCTGATGAACTCACCCTTTCGTCTTTCTAAGGACTGTTCCGGGTACTGTCTTTTAAATAAACTGGTCTATTGCTAGATAATGCTTTCCATTCGGCAGCTAGCAATCAATTGTATTTTAGACTATTCTAATAATTAATTAACAAACGTGGAACTCTAAACAGATCGTTGATTAGGTCTGGTAAATGTGAAACGCTTCAACAGAAGGTTGATGAAATTGAAAGGTGGTTGTTATGATTTATTATTAGAGAAATTTTAAGTGACATCAGGTCATTTATCTAATAGATGTGAGAGGTTTAAAAGCTTGAAAGGAATGAAAGAGGGTTATTATAATATTGAATATGTTAGACATTTTACAAACTATTATTAAAAATGACAAGAAATAGCAGATCGTTGATAAGTTCAAGAAGTGATTAAACGTTCAAACACATAATTGAAGTAGAAGATTAAGTATTAATCTGTTAAGCGCCAATTATTTGGTACTATTTAGCACTGAAAATCGTCGAATGTGAATCGATAACGTATCGAGCACAAATGACAATGTTTATCTCACAATTATTGGTTCCCATTGTCAAGGTAGGTAGCACTGTGCGAGTATCAATACAAAAACTTACATTAGTGCTGGATTCGAATTTGATTTATAAGCGATGCATTTTTGTTTTAAAGATTGCAGTTTATAAAGTTAAATTTTGGTATACGTTAAATGTATGACGTTGTTTGAGATTATTTGTAAGGTGTTGAACATCTACTGAATTATTAACAATAAGAAACGCTCCACTCTTCTCAGTTGATTATTTAATTAAATGTTTGATAGAATCAGAATTTTCACTAAGCAGAGAGTTATAATGTTATAGCAGTTCTTGGTAAAATCTGTTAGTTTGTCCTAAAGAAATAATAGTCAGAAAATTAAGGAATACCTATAACGGGATTCAAATCTTGCGCTAACCAGACCACTGGTCTATTAACTAAGCAACCGGAGATCGTTAGCGAGCATATTTTTTATTAAAATTTGGGTTATTCATAAAATAAATATCACTAGAACATTGTGAATCTGATGTGAAAAGTTAAGCTAATTATTGGCTTACATTAGTAAATTAGTTGATAAGTTTTGATAAACTGTCACTAATTCATCGTTGAAAACGTTATGCAATAACTAATTCAAATGTAACATACCTAATAAGGAAAATATACAGGTACAGGTATATTATAAATGAATGGGGCACAACTAAACTTTATTAGTATGACTGTAAAAACTATGTTTAATATATCTAGTATGTAATTCCATTCAAATTTTTCGATAAATTATCGAACGAATGAAAATAGGCCACAGAAAATTGCAAACATGTGCATCTCAAGCTGAATGTATAACGCACTTGTATTATGAAATTCTGAAACAACAACGTTACCACAGCCCAGAACTTAAAGAAAAGTTGATTTTCTATATTGGCTTGAGTAAGAATCGAATGCGGGACCTCAGACATGATGACATCATGAAAACCGACGTGCGAGCCCCTCGGTCACGGTGTCATGAATCTTTATTTTCCTGCTAGGCATACTTTTCATGTAGGCAGAAACTGAGTGCCACAAAGCATGGTTTATATTTATAAACCAGCTATGTAGCTGGTCCCCCTTTTGTTACTTCTTATATACACATTCGCTTGTTTTATTCCATCGGTGCTGGTTTTAAATTTAGATGAATGAGACAATTTCTGAAAATATAGAACATCGTGTTATTATGTTTAATGATAACTGAAGGCTGATAATAGATACAAGAAATTGTATTGATAATTGTTTTTGTTATAATTTAACACATGTAAGATATTGATACAATTTAAAAAGTAACAACAAAAAAAAATAATAACATTTCTCAATTAATATTTTTGGATATGTTATCTTCCTACTGTAACATGCATATATTAAAGTGGTAATATAACAAAATGCCAATTATACAGATAGTTTGGAATTTAGCATTATAATAAATGTAGTACCTCTGTTTGACTTTGAAAATTTAAAGAAGGTATCCCGTGCAGTCCTGGATAGACAGAGCAGCTTGTTATTTTTGGAAGAAATCTTACAATAGGGTATTATAAATTTTGACAGGCGACAAAAAGTTTTGGAGAAGTTGGTAGCTCCGAGAACCATCATGACTATACGGTACATAACCGATGAACTAGAAGAGAAAGCCAGAGAGGACTTTTTCAGACTGAAAAAAACTATGCAAATAAAACGAAAATTAGCTTTGGCAGCGGCTAAATTACAGGCAAATGGTTTGTCAAAATCACAAACATCAATAGTACTTACAGAAACGAGCATACCTGAAATACTTGAAGATGATGTAATTCAGGAAATAAAAGAGGATTTGTTAACAGATACTAATATCCAGGAAGAAATAAAAGAGGATTTGTTAACAGATACTAATAATCAGGAAGAAGTGAAAGAGGATTCTATTAAATCACCGAAAGAGGATATTATACCATCGAATAATATTGAAAAAATCTCTAAAACAAATAGTGAAATCACTTCAAAACCGATGTACAGCGTTGAAAGTATACGGTCTGAAAAAGTAATTAAGAATTTGAGCACTCGACCGAGTAGAGAAAATATGAACAAAGAGGTTGAGCGAGAAAATATCTCATGCCTCGAAATATGCGATTCGTGTCGAGATCATTTGAAGCAGGAATCTTTAATAACTAAAGAAAATGATACAGATACTAAAACAGATTTAGAATTAGGTGTGTGGGAGACTGAGTATGAAGAAATCATTAAAATAGTTCGGGTTCAAAAAGAAGATGGCACCATAGTAGAGGAAAAAAAGGTCATTAAAAAGCGGAAGGAAAATAGAATACCGATAGATCAACTAAACGTGGATAAGGACATTGATGAGTCGACTTCTTCTAAATCAACTCATTTTTCTGGTTCACAGACGATCGGTACTGTCACAGTAAAAAATAAATCCGCTTTTAGTGTAAAAAGAAATGCAATATCGGAAACAATTATGTGTCTGCCAAAAATGACAAACCCGATTATTCGATATTGTTTATCAACAGCCTGCACTAAATCAACTAACGACACTTATGATTTTTATTGTGTATCTCTATTCCAAAGTCGTGAAGATATAATTTCAAGTGACAAATCTTATGCCTCTAGCATAGAATTAGAGGTGATCCTGAACAATTATACTACTACAAGTGCAATCTCATCTACTTTTGATAGTATCAATAGTTCTGTTACCCATTAACTGTGACAAATCTTAATAATGTTCATAAACAATGGCTAATGACAAATATTTGTTTATTTGAAAGTTTGCTTTATATCTACTCTTTATTTTAAAATTTGACAACTATCAATAAATATTACGTATCCTAAAGTCTTGTGAGTTTATTGCCTGGATTTAAGTTATAAGCAGGTTGTAAACAATTTTCAAAATGAAATAAGCTTGGAGACATTATTGGCCTCTGTCCCTTACTGATCGGTAGAGGAACAGATAACGTCACAAAGGCGACTTTTTAATTTGGAAAAGAGATGTATAGAAAATTTCTAGGCGTTCAGCTGTTGATCGGAACAAAATATTCGGATTTATTCAAAACATAACAAATCGGATTTCACTATATATCTTTTTTTAAGTCACATAAATAATTAATTTCCTTTAGAATACCCAGTGTATTGCAATCAACTTGCAACTTCATTTGACAACAATTATTAATACGATTTGAAATTATTGTTGCTATATTAACTGCTAATGGAGGTAAAGAAAAGATGAGTATGTAAAATTATTAGATTATCGAAAATCTTCTACGATTTGAGCCACGATAGATTACCATTTGAGCTCAGGAGACATAAGTGGTATTGCTGAACTCCTCGAGTACTTCTTACCTTCACTAGTAATGACCATAATTATTTTCATTATTGCTAAGTTTAATCTAAGAGCATCTAAACAGCTGAACGAAATATTAACCTTTGATTTATATTTTTCTTTATATACTCGTAATATGCAAAATACATGAAATATAAAATTATTTATTTTAATTTAAGCTAAAGATGCTTTTCTCCTTTATAAAATGTAAAATGTCCTTAGGAAGCTGAAGGGTGTTTTTATGTAGCAGAATAACTGACTTGTGCTAATAGATTAAATATTGTTGGCAGACGATCGAATATCATTAATAAAATCCTGATACCACGAACTGCTTTAACCATACACTACATAATTCTCGAAATGGAAGAACGGGCACGAGAAGAAATGTTTAGAATGAAAATGATTAAAAAAGTAAAGTTACGCAAACAATCACAATCAGTTTGTCCTATATGCAAATTAAAAAAAGATCCTAGTAAAAACAAGGAAGACGAAATCAAAAATCAACATGAATTGGTAACAAAAACTGCCAAAGGTGTAACTGATTCATGCTGCAAAAGTATTGTAGAAAAGAAAACACCATCAACGGTATCAATAGCTAGAAGTGGAACAGAGTCAGTTAAAAAATTAACATTTGACTTACAACGAAAAGTAGATACACAAACTTTTTTACCAGAAAAATGTATATCTTTAGTAGAAAGTCCTATAGTATGCCAAGAAATAATACCAGGTCAAAAATCAACTTATGATAGTAAGTTAGAAAGCTTGAAAAAATTACTTGCAGAAATAATTACAATGGGAAAAGATGTAGTTCATACCTGTCTAAGTCAAATAGACATAGAAAAGTTTCTTATAACATGTGAAGATGCCAAAATAAGAATAGATAGCTTTTTGTTTTCTGAAAACAAAAGCGATACTGAAATTGATACCAGTTTAAAGGAACGTTTAAGTCAGTTGAAAGGTTACTTGAAAACAGTCATAGAACTTACTTCAGAATTAAGAGATGATGTAAAAATGATAGATAATGCACAATGTTCAATTATGTGTTCTAATAAGGCAATTGAAGGAGATTCTACTCTGAAATCTAACAACACCGAACATACGTCGGAACAAAATCAATTTTGTCAGGGTCATTCTGAAAAAGATAACGAGCCATCGTTAACGCCATCTATATGTGCATCTGCTAGGCAGAAAAGTTCACCGACTGATATTTGCAAAACTGATTACAAAGAAAACAGTTTGGATAAACTAACTATATGTTGCAAAAATTTCAAAGAAAAATTAAAAGCTTATAAAAGTAATTTGAAGCCACATTTAGTTCTATCTAGTGATAGCAGTATGTTAGTTAAAAAAAATGTGGAAAATGAAAATCTTAGGAAAGTAAAAAAAACAGAGTGTTCCGTATGTGAGAACGTCAATGATTTGATTGAGTGTTGTGATAAAATAAAAGAACTTTTTCAATACAATGAAAGCGAAAATTTTAGGGATGTGAATGAAATTTATATCAATATAGAAAATGCAGTTGCTTTACTTAAAGATTTAAAATTAGAGGCACTTAGTGACAGTTTATCAGAACTTTTAGAATACTATAACACAAAACAAGAAACACCTTTAAAATGTTGTCATCAAAAGTCAAATGAAACTTTGTTTGAAGGATATTGCTCGTGTAGTAGTCAGCTTATTTCTGTAAAAGATACGAGTACAGAATGTAATATTCCTGATGAATCACTTAATTCACTACCCGTTGTACCCTGTAAAACATGTAGGGAAACTCATAACGATAGTGAAAATATGGAACAATTTTGCAACAAATATTTTTTAGTCTCTGGAAAGCATAATTCTGCAAGAGGTTTAAAGCAAGAATCTAGTGAAAAAGAATATGATAATGTTAAAAAGAGGAATATATCTCTTTGCAATAAAAATTGCTTAGGTTTAGGTATATGTGGGTCTAATGAAGAACAAGATTTACCTAAAGAACAAATGGAAAGTGGAAAAAATTTGTCAAGTGATGATCAAAGAAAGCATTTAATAAATGACCAGTCTTCTAATAAAAGTCACATAAGTTCTAATTACTCTGAAATATCACACAAAACAATAACTCCTGTAAGAATGGAATCAACATCACAAAATTCCCATGAAGATTTTCTCGGTTTATATGAAAAAAGGATAAAGAAGATAGTTAGAGTTACACGGACGATGAATGAAGATGGATCGATTCGCGAGGAAACAGAAACAACCATAATCAAAAAGAGTAGACACGATCCAACAGTGACAACACTGACCGATGAGCCCGAAAACGATATTGACAACGCGTCTTTCGAAAATAATATTAATGATAATAATAATAATACTAATACTAATGTTTTAAGAGCAAATTTCAACTGTAACCGATTAGAATTTCTGAGAAAAGTGAAATCAGAAGGAACATTTAAATTTACACCCATGGCACAACCTATTCTTAGGCAATGTATTTCTGTCACTGGACTCCATAAAGATGATAGTATTCAAGAGTGATAGTCTTAATTGTGTTCTCCATTATAATTATGATAATAATGGTGAATTGGATTTGTATATTTGTACTGATGAACTTTAATAAACACATTCACACATATGATAACATATATGTTCTTTTGTTTGGTATTATCTATAATTGAATCACTGTTGTTTTATTGCAAAAAAAAAATCATTAGTTTTTTATGTTTATTTGTACTATCAAATACATAAAGAGTAGGTATTGTTATGTATTACTATAATTGATTAAATAATTTGATATACTTATGAAGTAAATACACGAAGGGTGAGTTATTAGCCGTGGCTGTTGTTATAAAAAATATTGGAGGAACAGATATCTTATGCAATTATTTATCTTAACAGGAGACGAAACGTGTTGTCAAAGGAAGTAACGCCCAGAATATTGGCTACCATGATGTACATTGAGATAGAATTACAAGAAAGATCACGAGAAGAAACATTTAGGCTAAAGAAAATAAAGCAGAATATAATTAATAAAGAATTAACTTATTCTTATGCCAATATTGAAAAAGAAAGAAGGAGAATAAAGTGTGAAGAAGAAATCGAAGAAGAAAAAGAAAAAGTGACAGAGGAAGAAAAATTAGACAGAGAAGAAGCCAACAAAGAAGATGAAGACAGTAAAATGAATCGTTTTGTTGGTTCTGCTAAAAACTGGACTACAGAACATTCTATGAGCCTAATTTTACGAAGAAAAGATGAAGACAGAAAATGTTTAGAATGTCTGGCATTACACGTAGATGAGATTATTAAAAGCCTTATACAAAAAGGAACTTCCGAAAAGTTAATGTTTCGATTATGTAACATGTTCAAAAAATCTATAAAAAGCTTTATAGGTACACCACAAATTTTAATGAAAACTGCTACTCTATCCAGCATAAGAGGAGATAGCGCTAACTCTACAGTAAAATCAGACCCTGCATGTTTATATCCAACAAACCCAAAAGAAATTGGAAAAGATTTGAAACAAATTAGTGCCGTAAGAACAACATCTTCTCAATATCACTGTCTTACATCAGACGACCACATGAAATGTGTGTTGGCGTCACAATCAAAGATGAACATACAAAAAAATGGAAGAGATCTGAAACAAACATGTTGTGTCAGAGAAACAGCATCCGAATATCAAAATCGTTGCCTTGAACTAGATCCTCGAATTAAATGTGTGTCGGTGTCACTATTAAAAAGCGAAGTAAATTCAAGAATGTATTCCATAGGTCGAAATAAGGAAACTTTGTGTCCAGCTTGTTCTAAAAAAATAAAATCAGCAAGTACATTTGAACAGAAAATTAGTGCAAAATCATGTTTTTCAGAAAAAAATAATGGAATATCTGTTTGGAAAATTCAAGAACCATCACCTAAATGTAACACAACAGATTCCAGTATGATGACAAAGCCTTGTTTTTGGTATTTACAAGAAAAACAGTATATGGTAGGAAAAAGATTAGGCTCTATGGAAGATATATGGAGGGAAACTTGGACTTCAACTACTGATTTGAAATTTATTCCTGGCCTAATGCTCAGTAAATCTGTTCTAAAAGGGTCCAGTAATTTCAAAATTGAACGATCAACTAGTGCCATTCAAATACTGTTAAAACCTTCATCGCTACATAAATCTGATAGACAAAGTGCTCACAATCTCAGAGTGCTTAATCTGTAATGAGACATTTGAGATCTAAGGTGCGTACATCATGAAAACACCTTTGTTAATAAGTTTCAGAAATTAAAACGAAAAGAAAGAAAAAATTAAAGCAAAATGAAAAGGTGTATCAGATCCTAGTATTTGTAGAAAATATCAAATGAATAAAAACCCATTTTACTTTTTTTTTTGTTTTCACATTAATTCAGTGGAAAAACGTACAAGTACATATTATGGTATGACAGATGACAAAGCTCGCAATGTTTTTCCTTTCGACTACATAAGCGTTGCGCGATAGATTTGAGTTAACCTCACCAAGTACTAAGTTCCTTTAAGTACACCAAGCACCAAGCGTATAAAAATAGACGATGACTAACCCCCGGTTTCAATAGCCAAAAAACTATCCGTTTAGCTACCATCCGTAGCATTTCCTACCGATGATAGCAAAAAAGTGTTTCAATAACATACCATTGGTAGGTAAAGCTACCGACGATGTGCTACTAACAGATTGATCTGATACTGATAACGGTTCGTAGGCAAAATGTATGAAAATGGCGCAAACAGGTGTTTCAATAAAAAAATCTATCCGTCGGTAGAGCTGTCAAACTTACTATCCGTAGCTTATCTGTCAAATTTGCCTATCGGCCATTTTCCGTCGGTTATCGTAAAAATATTTATAAATGGCACGTTCTCCCTTGTTAACTAATAGAAAAATAACAATTTTTCAATAAAAAATTAAAATTGTAAATTAAGAGTTTGATGTGTTTTGTGGTTTCAATTAGAAGAATTTAAGTTGTAATCATGCCAATGTTTGTACCTTTGTTTAAGGGCTCATACTACCAATTAATCATTGCTCCAGATGCTTTCTACAATATGTTTCTGTTGAAAAACTTGATGATTTACCTCTATATAATTATGAAAAACCTTGTTCTGATGAATTTGCCACCTACTTGTACCAAACTTATACACTTTACATTAGTTTATACCCTTTATTTTTTATTAAACACTGATATTTATTTAATTCTTAATAAAACCCAATTTGGATATGAATTATTTATTTTACAAAAAAAACAATTCATAAAAAACTACATAATTTTTGCATTATTCCGTTGCATTTTTCTACGTTTGTTTTACGATTTGATACAATCATTCCACTTTTTCTGAAAACCATTCATTTATCATCCTATGTCAATGGATCACAATTATTCACTGTCAATTTCATTAATTTTATTTTGCAAATTCAATATGTATAGTAATATTACAAATCAATTTATACAATTAAAAATTTATAATAAAGGTGAATTCTATATAAAATTCCCGCCAAGCTTCTAAGGAACATAAATCAACTTTACTTTTTGGCATAATTAAAGGCAAATTGATATAGCACATACAACCTAGTCTAGAGTGACAATATTCACATTGAGGTTCACTTGGACGTTTTAAATGCTTTTTTTTGGAGCAAAAATTTAAATATATTAGAAAATGGTGAGGTACGTTAAAGTAACACGCTCGCGTTCTTGTACCTACTAAATTAAAAAAAAACCTTGCTTATAATCATGCACCGTATCATTTCTATGAACTGTGTATTGCACACGTTTATTTATATTTCGAAATTTAAAATAGAGATAAAAAAACTTATATAAACAAATAATGTTATTTCAGGGGTTGCAAACATTTTCCAAAAGGTTCTAATTATAATTTTATTTTTGTAAATAATAATACGGATATAAGATATATAGTCTTATTTTTTATCGACTTCAATGAAAGAGGTTTCTCATTCAAGTGTAACTAATTAATTTTGTATAGGTAACAATGTGGTGATAAAAATGTAAGATTTGTTAACAGTAGCCTATAAGAATTTCATTACTTTTTCAATTTTAAGAACTTTGAATTGTAAATCAATATCGAATAAAATACTTGTACAGTAGGTGGCAAATTCAGTTTCATCAGAACCAGGTTTTTCATAATTATATAGAGGTAAATCATTATGTTTTTCAAAAGAAACATATTGTAGAAAGCATCTGTACCAATCATTGATTGGTAGTAAGAGCCTTTAAAGGTACGAACATTGACATGATTACAACTTAAATTCTTCTAATTGAAACCACAAAACACATTAAGCTCTTCTACAATATTACTTTTTTAATGAAAAACTGTTACTTTTCTTTTAATTAACAAGGGAAAACGTGTTATTTATAAATATTTTTCGATAAATCATACTAAATAAAAAAAGTTTAATTCAATGAGCCAAATGTTCCGAATCGCTGTTTCTTGCCTGCAGCATAAAATATTTCTATCCTATTTTTATCTAAAAAATGGATTTTTAGTTCAAGTAAAAAAATTACTAAAAACTTTGAAAGAGATAAATCTAAACTATTTGTTGTAATGGTTACTCTTTTGTTTACATCAGAATTCCATTTCAGACGATAATTTGTTTCACAATAACAACACTTTTAAGAACCTAACCATATATTAAATAAGTCATAATAATTCCAAAACAAATTTCAAATTTAGTTTCGGTACGTGATCAGTTCACTTCTTTCCTATTGATGTCACTGTCTTCCTTCTTACGATTTCGATTTTGTCCAAGAAATTATTAAATGTTAAATACCATCATTACAGTATAATCATAATATTACCTAAGACAAGGCTGTATGGAAAGATCCCTTTTCCTCGAATTAAATGATTACAATTTTAAAAAAATGAGCTACCGACAACCGTTCGTAGTTGGTAGGTGCCTACCGATGATTGTGAAACGCAAAAACGAATGGTTGTCGGTAGCTCAAAAAACGGTCGGTAGCTACTACCGATGGTTGTCGGTTTTTATTGAAACCGGGGGTTATTAGTGATAGTTATTAATTTTCATATTATAATTAATTTTTATTACATAATAAAGAAAATCCTACCGATTATAATTTTGTTTTGAACGCAGTCACAGTGTAATTTAAGCCTTCATTTATGCAGATAAGTGTTACCATTATTGTGAAAAAATTGGTAACCAAGTAAAACTTTTGCCCTTTACATCTTTATTCAATAATTAAAATAGAGTACACTTATATATTCGTTATTTATTTAGAGTATCCTAAAATTTTTAACAATTTTTTTGTTTTCAAATAATGTGTAAGTAAAGCTATTGTTTGCAAAATATGTTATTATATTTTTGAACTTTACACTCAAATAAAAGTCTGTATGCATTATTATAGATATTAGTTACTTCGTAAAATTCATGTTCTTTACAAAGTGCAGGAAGGGTGAGTTATCAGCTATGGCAGTTTTATAATAATATTTGGAGAAAAAGATATTTTATAAAATTATTTATCTCAACAGGAGAAAAAACGTGTTAACAAAGAATGTTACGCCCAGAATATTGGCTACCATGATCTATATTGAGACAGAATTACAAGAGAGAGCCCGAGAAGAAACATTTAGGCTAAAAAGAGTCAAACAAAATAAACAAAAGAAATCAGGAACTGATAAACAAGCAATTTGCATTTGTGATAAAATTCAAGAGGAGGAAGAAGAAGAAGATAGCAAAACGATTTGCCCTATTTGTTCTGCTCATGACATATCAGAAGAAACACTCGCTCCTAATTTGTCTGCGGGACAAAAATCTCCGAAAGATGATGAAGACAGTAAGCGCTTACAATATCTCGTAGAACATGTAGATAAGATAATCGAAAGCTTAATGAAACAAAAAGGAACATCAAAAGACGCTGAAAAATTAATCGATACATGTAATATATTTAAAGGATCAATAAAAAGTTTTACAAGTACGCCACAACTTCAAATGAAAACATCCACAGCTACTTTATCTAGCATAAAAAGAGATAATACTAACTCGATAATAAAATCTGACACTGCGTGCTGTCGTCCAAAGGAGACGGAAGAAATTGGGAAAAATTTGAAGGAAATTAGTCCCGTCAGAGTTACCTCTTCTGAATATCATAAGCACTGTCTTGAATCAGATAATCAAATGAAGTGTGTGATGGAGTCACAGTCCAAAACGAATACACAAAAGAAACAACCGTGTTGTGTCAGAGAAACCGCATCTGAATATCATAATCGTTGCCTTGAACCAGATCCTCGAAGTAAATGTGTATCGGCATCACAATTAAAAAGCGAAGTAAATACAAAAACGCATTCCACGTGTCCTGTTTGTTCTAAAAAAAGTAAATCAGTAGGGACATTTGACGGGAAAAGTAGTACCAAAACATGTTATTCAGGGAAAAAGAATGGAATATCTCCTAAGAAATTCCCAGAATTATCATTTAAATCAAATAAGCAAGATCCTGGTATGATGGTAAAACCTTCTATTTGTTCTTCACAAGAAAAACTAAATAGAGGAGTTAAAAAATCAGGAGCTACGGAAGCAATATGGAGGGATACTTGGACTTCAACTACTGATTTGAAAGTCATTCCTAGTAAATCTGCTCTAAAAGGGACAAGTAATTCCAAAAATGACCGTTCTACTTGTGCAATCAAAGTAATTGTCAAACCTTCATCGCGATATAAATCTGACGGACAAAGTATAGGTAGTGCTTCTACAATGTCAGAGTGTTTAACCTGTAATTATTCATCTAAGACTAAAGGTTTATCCGACATAAATACATCTTTATGTAAAAGTTGTAGAAATAAATCTGAAAGCAAAACTAAAAGAGGTATATCAGATCCTAGTTTTTGTAGAAGATGTCAAATGAATAATAACAAAATTAAAACTAAAACGAGCAACAATAAATGCCCACGTTGTGAGAAAGAAAAAACAGCTTATAAACATATATGTCCAGTTTGCCAGTCTGATGATTCATCAGTGTCAGAGTTTCAAGGGAGAATAAATCTCAGTTCCGATAAATCCAAATGTTTTGTATGTGGAAAAGATAAAAACGATAAGTCTCAAACTGTAGTCGATAGTCCTGGAATCAAATGTAGTATATTGTCATTTATCAAATCAAAAATCTTTGGGCAGGAAGGCGAAGAACTACCTTGTCCTTGTTGTGGCATAACCAAAGCCACAGGAAAGTGTGAACACAGTTGTAATTTTTCTAAAACAACCAAATCTTCTGAAGATCTGAATACATCAGGTTCATTTTCCTTATCAAATAAGAGTTGTGGAGTTGAAACAGACCAATGCAGATCATGTGGCTCGTCGAATTCTCCAACATACATATCTGATAGCGAAAGCGAAGTTTGTTGCGGTACTCAAACTATGACAGATCCTACTCCAAAGCACTCTTGTAAATTCGACGATAAAGTGAAGGTGACTCGTATATCAGAGCCTGTGAGAAGTGTGACAAATACGTTGCAGCCATCACAATCAACGTCTAAAATGAGAGATGTCGGAGTTAATACCAAAGTTGCGGACAGGTATGATGTTAGACCTGTGCATATGATGCCGAACTCATCTCGTATTAGCTGCACTTGCAAGCCCCAAAATCCATCAAAGGTATGTTCCTGTAACTCGGAACCGATCTGCAGCAGCAAACCCAAATCTTTACGTAGAGTGAGATCTTTGGACCGTTAATATTATCACGAACATATGAGTATATATTAAAGTGCAAGATTCTAGAGCCGTTAGATTATCAGGAGGAGGTAGTCAATATCACATTTTTTCAAAATTTTGTTACTTAGCATTGGAAGTATTAACCTCATTTTTTATTATGCCAACTAATAAAATAATATTTACAATCAGTATTTGGATTTTTTGGCTATTTCATTTCTTACCTGACATGGTTCTCCTCCAAGGTATGTACAAGTTCGAAGTTAACAAATAATAACTTTATTCAATATTACACATCTTGCTAGACATAGAGAGTAAGACTGGTGGCTCAGGGATCTTGGACCGTTATACAATTAAATCAATTTAATTATAGCTTAAAAGAATAAGTTTTACCAATTACCAAAAGTTGAGTCAATCTGTAATGATACAATTATTGTCACTTATCGAAATAAACATTGAAGATCATCTATTGGTATAATTTATAGATAACACCATGAAACGACAACTTAATAGGTTATTGGAATTCAAATTAATCTTATTTAGGTAATAATATTTTAGTTTAGAATTAATGTTGCATGATTCTAATTGTTATAAACGAAACAAAATTATGAAACCAAACAAAAAATAAAAATAAAATTATGTTTTTCTGTCAAGAAGAACGCTATTAACAAAAGCAAGAGTTTCTTTTTTATTACGATACCTTGCGTGGTAGGTACAACTCATAAGACACGGTCTATGGTCATTTTACTTCATTCCCAACATTCATTACAATGTTATTTTAATGCATTCTTGTCATTTACGTCGTTTGTCGTTGGCATGCTAATAAAACGCAATCAATCAATGAAGGTAAGTTTTAACCTCATTGGATTCTGTCTATATCTGCTTCTGCATTATAAATAATTTTACTCATTTTGCCGTTCTTAGTATATTAGACATTATTACAACTACCATTATTAATTTTTATTATCATACTGTCTGTGCGGAAGTAGAAGATAAATAAAAAAAAAACCGGTCAAGTGCGAGTCAGACTCGCGCATCGAGGGTTCCGTACAAGCCTTTAGGTATATATGTAAAAGTTGACATAAAAGTTTGTTACAGCTCAAAATAGAACCGAGTGAGTATTTGATGTGAATTTTAATTAAATACATTTATGAGTTCATGAAGAACGAGGTAGTGAGTTTATAATTATTAAAATTATTTTTAATATACGATGTAACTTTAAAATTTCCTTTGTCTGTGCTAAAAGACGTTGCTTAGTACCTTTTAAGACTGAGTTCACGGGAGCTTTGAAAATTTGTAGAAAAATGCGGCATAAACGGCTGTATCTTTTGATTGCGTTGGCTTAGAAGTTTGATTTTTTCACAGTTCCAAGGGACAGTAGATCTGAGTATTTGATATAAATTTCAGATATAAACTCCACGCGTTCCTGAGAAAAAGGGTTAAGTCATTGCTCTTCCAACCTTTTGTTTTAACAAGGTTTGGCTAAGGCTTTTAAACCAAGCCGAACAAAGAACGAGAGTATTCAAATGTGGGCAATAAAAGTTTACGAGAATACCGTTCGGCAGTAGATCAGCCTCGTGCGCACATTCTAGTGTATCGTGCAATTAGGGAACTGTAGTGGCTTGCTCACATGGTGGCCAACGTAAAAATGGAATATAGATAGTAAGGCAAGTTTTTGACGGGCTTAAATGCTGTGGGTTTGTAATATTAGAATTATTTTCAAATAAGAGTATATAGCTATGCTGAAAATAATTTTAAAAAGACCAACATCTCAGTCTAATGCCTTAGGAGCTTGTAAAAGGTCTAAAAAGTCTTAAAGAATGTAAAAGTTTTTAAAAAGTGGTTTCATAATATGGGTGTGCCGAAAATTTAAGTAACAAGTATTAAAAGAAATAAATATTTACTGTACAATTTCGCATGAAATTTGCTTTAAACAATGATCTAATTGCAATATCTATAATTAGGACCCAGTATTGGATTCTTCGGTAATGACGAGATCCCTTCAAAGGAAATACACTTATATTAATTAAGAAATACAATCTCATTACCGTAGCCTATGAATTTAAAATATCAAAAGCGGAACTTGTAGTCAAACAACAAATTTTAAGGTACGTTTAAATTGAACACTTCGACGCTGAAAATTGAGAAAATTTGATAAGTGATATATCGAAAGCTTATCCTAATTACAAATATGGGTTATGGGTTGGAGAAACTTACGGAATATTACCGTTTATTGCTTATTTTCATACTTCAAAGGTTGCTTTAGCGGTTTAACCGTTACAAAGTCTGAGATTCAGCTAGAAAAGTTTTTTTTTTTTATTCCAGTTTATATTCTCAACTTTTGTAGATTTTTAATATATTTTTTGGAAAGGAAGCAGTGTATTGGAGGGGCTATTTTAACGTTCATATCAACATCAATAAGTTTACTAAATCCAGAGATTAGAAAATTGATTTTGATAATTGCAAAATATGAATGAACTGATCTAATACAGATCATAATTGTAAATCTATTAATATTTATTGAAATTTTTGTTCGTTTCGTAGTCGCAATTTATATTACATCTTAGAATATCTAATTATATAAATACTAGTATTCATAATCGAAACAGATTTTATATTTTAACACCCACACATTCTGTATAAATTTGCTAAGAATTGTAGGTAGATGTTACATTTCACTCATGAGTACGTCTTACAAGCCTGTAAGGTATTTATAAGTCATCGGATGATATTTTAACTATGATAAGCTTTTCTAAATCGTTCAATATTTTATAGTTATGATCAGAACTATCCACCAATTCAGAATCATTAATTTACATACTACTAGTAATAGTCATTCAGCTTACTAGAAGTCCTATCAGATTTCTTTAGCGCAATTATTTATCTCCGTGCTCGAATCACATCTTTACAGTTGGCGTCTAGACGGAGGTAAGACAGAAACAAAATAGCATCCGAAGAATGATTAGCATGCTACGACACGGCGGCCGAGAGCGGATAATTAGAGGCTAATAAAAACAACTCAATAAAACAATACATACTGCTTCTGTCTGCGAAACGTTCTCATCAGGGATGTCAATAGGGAAGTTGGCCGAATCCCCATTAATATATGTAAATGTCAAATTCGAATTGAAAATTGTAGATAAAGTGCAAAAGATTGGATTCGTGGTATCAGGGTCAAGTGAATAGAAAATAAAAAAAATCCATTCTCAATGAAAAATGCTAAATAAAATCCGTTTTGTCCCTAGCACTCTGAGATGTGAGGTCCTGGGTAGCTCACTGGTTAGAGAAGTCGCCCGGATTGCGAAAGGTCATGGGTTTGGGTTCTATCTCAGAGAGCCAGGAACATTTTTAGCCAGTAGCATTATGAATGCAAAATTTATCAAATATAATAAATAAAAAAAACTTTTCCAGTCTATATCGCCAGCGTCGCTCAGAAACATCAGATATAGAAAGTGAGTCTTCTAGAATCCAATCTCACTATTTTGTAATGTGAATTTAATCAATTTTACATTTACAACGCTATATTGGTAAATATCTTTAAAAAATGCTGCCAGGTAATGTGTTGTTTTAAAAAAAATAATTTTTTTTTAATGATTTCTCGTTCTGATTTGCAAAATCATGTCCAATTCAATGGTTACCAAAGTTTCGGATAATTTGAAACAAATCAAATACTCCCAAAATATAAAGGTTATTTTTATTATTAAGAGTAGTAAAAGTGTAAAAATTAACGATAAAGACATTATTTTATTGCATTATAAATTATCTTTCACCTATAAATTATTTCATTGGGCATTGTTCGATATTTTTTAAGATGTGATGTATCAGGGTTTTTGTAAGTGACATGAAACTCGCTAATATTAAAGAATTGCTGCGCATTTGATATTATACTTACGTTATTCTTTGATTTCGGATCATTTATAAAATTCGTATTATTATGGCTTGTATTAGCGAGATGGAAATGTGGACTTTTATTGTGGAATTACGGGAACCTTTAATGATTTTGAGAATTTTATTGCTAATGAGAAGTGCCGTAAGTATGCTTACGAAATTGAAATTGCCAATTTGCCTTTGCCTTGCTATTGATAAAATATCGTTAGGTGTGCCTCTAAGAATATTGGCGTCTCGATTTTTCGTAGCAATAATACCTTAAAAGCAAGATTTAAAATAATATCAATAGACGAAAAAGTCCAATTATCGTGTGATACGTCACAAATATGATACGTCAATATCATTATCACAAACAATAAAATACGAATATTCGTTATTCATATTTTTCAATAATTTATAGTTTGATTGGCTAATACCTGTGTATGATATAGCTTCTCGTAGATGAAAAAAATTTTAAAATCGGTTCAGTAATTTTCAATGCAAACAAACAGTTAAATCTTTAACAACATAAAATATGAGTTTAATAATAATCTTTTTGTAAATTGTTCTTTCTTTTTGCAACGTTAAATTATTACTTTTGAATACTGGTTCTCATCCTCGTATTTACTTTCTAGTTTGATGTAGGTGTTTTGAAAGACTCTAAAGTTACAAAATTAAATATTAATTGTATTTTAATTTGTTTAATAAATGTATTTCTCGCTATCATATAGGTTTTAATACTTAAAACTGAATTTTTATAATAAGAATAATTCAATTTGTGGTATAAGACGGTATCTTTGGCATCTTTGTCCTATATTATTTCTTTTGCGTTTATAATGTATTTATGTTAGCATATATCATACCCATGCGGGTAAAATCTGTTAGGTGACAATTTTTATAAAAATGAGTTAAATACATAATTAAATATAAATTTTTCAAGCTGCATCTACTGGTGAAACTCATTTCGTTTTTGTAAAAATTGTCTCTTAACAGGTTTTATCAGAATGGGTGTGATATGCGAATATAATGTACAACCCTAAATTAGTTGGCAAGTGGCCATAGTTCGTAGTACGCAGTGTGACGTCACGGGCATTCCTCAGTCGGTAGACTAGACGACCCGGGAAGCTCGCACTTATTGTTTCTCTATAGCATAGTAAGTGTGAAATAGTGTCATGAAAATATTAAAAATATAATAAGTTATTAGCCTAGTGACAACCTCTGTAGTTGAATCTTTTGTACACAGGTTTCAAGGTAGCCATTTCTAAGATGCTGGGGTTATTGCCTTCCTTATGGATAGATAATGAAATATGTCCTAACACGCGGGCTAAGTGCAGAATAAAGGGTGTTAACTTCTGCAGGCGCAGCCGGGACCAACGGCCCTGTGTATTTCAAAGCGCGGAAGAGGTTTAGATGATAAATTTTTTAGGAAAGTTGCAATAGCCCAAAAAAGAAAGAAAAATAAAAAAACAGTATTATCTTCTAAAGGCTCTCCCACATCCATAACGTGAATTTATAAAATTTTCTCTATAGGAAAAAACTCAAAACTACTCCTTAAATTCATCATTGTTTTAAATTTTTTTTTACACATTTATGTGGCCGAGGATACTACGCAGCATTTTTACAGTAATCGTAATAGTTTCCGTTTAGGTAACTATTGGTCAATTCTTGGTCAATTGCATAAAAGTCCACGTAAGCAACATTAAGCGAAAACTATTAAGGTTTAAACCTTAAGCACTAATGAATATTCAAAATCAGATAATTCTTATCAGTTTTGAAAATTCTAATGAATTAAAATTTTAGTGGACATTTGTGTATCTGGGTGTAATATTCGTATGAGCACCTGAGGGCCATTCTTTTTGTCTGTAAATGAAATTGCGTATGTCGCGTAGTATGTAGCATATGTTTTATGGCATACACACATGTGACTAAGGATCAGTGCATAACTGACGGAATATCGGTTGCGTAACGTCAGAACTGACATAATGTAAGGTGCTAATAGATTACTTAATTATGTTAAATTAGTACCAGCTATTAAATCTATTAAAAATAATAATGCCTATAATAATATCACGTAATCTTGCATCTTTGTGAATTTCGTTTGTTATTTTTACGTTGCAAATAATTTTTAAATGTAATATTGGTCTTTTTTACATTGTGAATAATTTAAATATTAATATAACCAATTACCATGGATCTTTTGGTTTTTGCAAATTGTTCTTTTTTGAGACGGTATCTTTCGAGCTTACTTCTACTGATCTTGCACATTCTACTGATGATCCGACACTTCGTCAAGCGCACTATTTGATCTTTGTCGAGCGCTCTTGACGGATCTTCCGTCAAATGTGCATCCAACCTATAGTCGGTGACATAGAAACGTAAGTAGGTTGTTACTAATACATTTTTCTATGACAAATAGTTGAAAGTGAAATTGCGCAAAGTAATCTGTTGTATGATAATGACATATAACAGAGTGACAAATCACGGCACACGTACCGTAGCCGCCCGTTGTTGATACCGAACAATGCAAAGATTTCGCAACATCGGGCTGGCTCTGTCCGCCCGGTGGCGTATTGTTACAATTCTATTATGTGACCGTGATAACTTTGAACTTAACACTTTTATTGTGCC